AAAAAAAAAAAAAAAAAAAAAGTTAGTTTTTTTTCCCCATTATATTCCCTTATCCAATGTCCTCAAACCTTCTTCCAGCGTTATCTTTTATACAACACTTTTGCTATGCATCTTTTGGATTTCCATGGCAAGTCTCTTATCTTTAAAGACAATAAAATACCTTTAGAAAGGAAATCAGAATATACACAGGCTAGAAATATGCCATGATGAACTCTTTAAAAATTTAATCTTTTTAAATGACTCCTGATCTCTCTTCTCTTGGGCACATTCTTTCCTCCATCTAAGCCTTCAAAAAATCAAGGCATTCTTGCGTCTATTGAATGGATCAATGCACAGCTCACTCAGAGCAGAGCACAGGTTTTTAAACTGGAGAAGGTGATCTGTAAGAAAAGATAAGAATTTGGGTAAAACCCCATTACCTAACCTGATATTGACTGATAAGTAGCATTGAGGACCTTAGACCACAAAACGAGGCCAAAAAAATATCCTAACATTGTTTCCAAAGCTGATGTCCTCCCAATTGACCCATCATCTATGACAATCAAGCTCAGGTTTTGGTGGCTTTTATCCTCTCCTCTGGGTACATTTACAGATTTGGGTCAATAGGAGAGAGTGGTAGGCGGCATTAAAGAGAGAAAAACGTGCATGGCAATCTCAAATTAAATATCAGCATGAAAAATGCGGCAACATCTCTATAGCTTTGTTATAACCCAAAAGCACAAAATTATGCCTCACTCTTCAAATGACGTCATACACTTACATACATTTCATGGAAGAAATGATAATGCAGCGCATGATGTCTAAAATGCTTCAATTATTCACAGATTACTGGGGGGTATTGCAGAGCCTATCAGAAAGAGCAAAGACTTTAGATCCAGCTGGGCTCTGCTGCTTCCTAGTGTTTGAATTCCCCAGGTTATTGAATCAGCCTGAACTTCAGCTCTGTCACTGTAAAATGGTCACTCTGAGGACTGGTGACAAGGAAAACAAAAACCCAACTGAAAAAAAAAAGGCCAGCAACCCCTAGTCATCGTCAAAAGAAGAAAAGAAACCCAGTAGCCATACAATTTCCATTTTTATTTCCAAAATGCTTTCTTCCCCATCCCCGATCTCGGAGGGGAGAGATGATTGTCCTTCTTTATCAGATGAGGATGTTAAGGATCAAAGAGATGACTTGTCTGCCCAGAATGAATCATGGCCGTTTCTTGGCAGAAACACAGCAGCTTTCATCTTTTGGTCTGACTAATAGTCAAGTTGCTTTCCTGACCCCAAATCCAGCCTTCACCTGTTCTGATCGCTGAGCAAGGACAGTGTGGTGTTAGAGCCCTGCCCAGGCTATAAATGGTGCACAGGGAACCTCTGGGCTTTAGAAGTTTAGAAGGACATTGAAAGACTGGGGTGTCAGCAGAGGAGAGTAGCTTGGGTTGAGCTGGGGAGACCCAACCGCTGGAAAAAGAGTTTTAAGGGGCAACAGTGTGAGCCAGGGTGTGTGTAGCTGTAGGGCCTGGGGCTGCCTTTTTCAATACCTGTGGGGCCTCCCAGGGAGGAAGATTCAAGCTTTAAAGGAAGAAACAGGACCCATAAGCAGGAAAACCAAGGAAAGTAATATTAAATCCAGCCTGTGGCTGGGCACAGTGACTCACATCTGTAATCCCAGTGCTTTGGGAGGCCAAGGCAGGAGGATCACTTAAGGCCAGGAGTTCGAGGCCAGCCTGGACAACATAGCAAGACCCTATCCCTACAAAAATTAAATTTAGCGTGAAAAATGTCCTGACCCTCACAGAGCCCACAGTGGGGTTGGGCTGTGCTGGGAAGCAGGGGCTGGACTGGAGTCAGGGCAGGGAAGTCACAGTGCTGTTGGCCGCTGCAGTGGCCTCCTCCTCCTTCGAAGCTGGGATTCTCATCCACAGCACGGGATAATGTCCTAGGACCATCCTGTGTATTGGGAGGCAGGGGGCATCTGGCACAATGTGCCTGACACCAGGAGGGCTACATAAATGATCTCCCCTTCCTTCCTTCAGTGGCATCTCCCCCTTCACTAAGTCACCCTGCCCAACCCTCACCAAGGTGCAGGCAGGGGCTGAGCAGCTGGGGTCCTGACTCGGCAGCCCCTCCCTCCGCAGGTGCTGAGCGAGGCCCGTGTGCGGAAGCCTGTCAACGTGCAGATGCTCTTCTCCAACCCCCTGGATGAGCCGGTGCGGGACTGCGTGCTGATGGTGGAGGGAAGCGGCCTGCTGTTGGGTAACATGAAGATCGAGTGAGTCCCAGGCCCAAGTGGCGATGCAGGGATGGCGGGAGGGGATGTGGCTGGGGGGTGCCTCCAGATCCCCGGGTCCCAGGGTGGGACAGACAGAGCTCCCTGTGACCTTAAGTTCTTTACTCTTTTGAGGGTCTTGGAACTCTAGAATCTGCCTTTGCATTTGGTTTGGGGGTTCTCCAAACAAACCTGAACTCCCGGGAAGTCCAGGTCACCAAAGCTAAGAACTGACCTTCAGGGCTTAGAATATCTGGGAGATCATGGGGCCCCCTCCCGCTTCCCCTGCTGAAGTGTCCCAGGGCTGGAGGGGCCCCATAACCCAGAGAGAAAGCTAGAGGGAACTAAAGAAGCAATGGCCTTGCCCAGCCCCCACCAGAGCAGGACAGGTGGCCGCAGAAGGCCCGTCCAGTCCGAGGTCCATTTGTCTCCCATCGACACTGATTCATGCCCTCCCCATCAGCGTGCCGACCCTGCGTCCCAAGGAGCGGTCCCGGGTCCGTTTTGAGATCCTGCCCACCCGGAGTGGCACCAAGCAGCTGCTCGCCGACTTCTCCTGTAATAAGTTCCGTGCAATCAAGGCCATGCTGTCCATCGACGTAGCGGAGTGAAGGGCCCTGGTGGCCTCCCGTACAAACTTGGGTAATACGGAGCAGGGAGGACTCACCATGGAACAAACCCCCTGCCCATGCTGTCCAGCCTGGGAAACCCTCTCCATCTCCCAAGGCTGCCAGACATGGACCTCCAGGCTCCAGCACATCCCCCCTCCCCTGTCCCCCAGGTCGGGGCTGGGTCCACCCTGGCCCAAGACTCGATCACTTTTGCACATCCCCTGGCCGCTTCTCCCCAGGGCTGCCTGCTCTGTGAGCCCCACAGCCCTGCTCATCCCTCATGCCCATCAATGCTGCAGAATGGACTGGCCCCTGACCCAGGGACTCTCCAAACGGGATGCAGGAGAGAAGCTGGTCTAGACCGTTTGCTGATCCCCAGCCTGCATGGGGCATCCCTGCTCCTCTCTCAGGCCACCACAGAGGGCAGGGGATGGTTAGGCACCTGCCACACCACCCACAACTCAAAATAAATGTTAAATAAGTGCGATCACATGGCACCGACTCTACCTGACTGCCATTGCACCAATGGTGGTGAAGGAGAGACGGGCTGTGGCCGTGACCTTCTGGAGCAGGGAATAAACTTGAGGAGGCCATGTTCTCTGTGTTTCAGTGTCCAAAAGGAGTGGGCTTGATCTGCAAGGCTCTAGGTGCAAAAATAGGGAAACATTTCAAGCCAGTTTAGGAAAACTTTCTAACGTGATGTCCAAAAATAGATACGGCTGCCTTGGGAGGTAGCTCCCGGTCACAGAAGGCTTCCAACATTCTCTGTGTGGCTGGGCAAGCTGTTCAGGCCTTTCTACAATGCATCACAGTGAGAGCGGACTTCAGTTTTTGCTGGAACCCTGTGCCAGAGCAGGCTCTGGGGGTGGCCCAGCCTCTGCACATATGGGGCTCCATACTCCTCTAGCAGCCAGGAGCGAATGTGTGCTTCCACCAGCCACAGTGCTGTTAACTCACCCTGAACCTTCTCTACCTTTATACACACTCTGATGGTTCCTCAGCCTTTGTCCCTTAAAATAACCTCAAGCAGATCCCATTAGCTTTCCTGTCGCTTGTGCTGAGTAATCCCATTTTGACAACTCTACATTATTTTCTGAACTTAGGAGACCAGTTGAATCTAAATAGAAACCTCAACCTCACACCCAGCTTGAAGCTTCCCTCCCGTGTGCAGCACAGGTCTTACTCACGCCTGCAAAGGAGGCACTGTCCATCTCTCACCTTCTTTCCCTTCCTTCCTCAAGTGGGGAGTCGCTTGATCCCTCAGAGTTGGAGCAGAGAGAGAAGGAGAAGAAAAGTGACAATTGTGTTTCACTGGTGTTGGTGTGATGCAGCCAGTGACGCTCTCTGTGTCACTGGCGTTGAAATGCAGCCTTTTTGCACTGTTTGTTGCGGGACGCAGGCAACATGGTCTCAGGTTCCGACCCTGAAGGTGCACCCCGCTACCTCTGACTGCCCTGGAAGGAGTGTGCTTTCGTGATAGCTTGAGCCAGCTTCCTTCATGGGATGCACTAACCACAGGAAGCTTGCATCTCCTTGCCCTGCCAGATACTGGGCTTAGTTGTCAATTTTATTAATTTTATTTTTACACACTTGAGGAGATCATGAAACTGAGGATGCATTAGTGACTGCGTCTTGAGAATGGTGACTATGGCCCAAACCCTGAGCCAAGTGCTTTATCTGCAGTGTCTCATTTAATCCTCCCAGCACACCTATGGGATAGCTGCTGCTACCACCCACGTTACCACTGAAGAAGCTAAAGCTCGGAGATGCTGAGTAATTGGTGCAAGAGCACGAAGCCATGAAGTGGAGAAATTGGGGTTCAAACCCTTCTGTCTACCTTTAGAGCCAAAGCCACTATGCTAATGTGACAGACACTTTTGGTGGCCAACAGTCATTCTTCCTTTCTTGCTAATTGAACCCTGGTTTTGTCTGGAGCCCAAAACCAATGCGGCCAGCCTCAGAGGACAAATTCTGATTGGTCTAAGCCCATCACAGCAATCCCCTTCCCTTTCACCAGCTACTGCTTTGAAGGTGGATCTGTGGCCTAGTCTGGTGAATTATGTGAATTCCAAAGGTTAGGGCTTAAGAGGGCTTGTGTGCATCTGTCTTCACCCTCCTGGAACACCGTGTGAAGAAGCCTGGTCCATTCTTACGTTAGCCATTTGTGGGTGTCAATCATTTGTCCCACCAGGAAAGAACTCGTTCAGCTGCAGTTCAATTAGTTGACAGCTTCCAGCTGTTGGCACCTTTGGGCTCAATCTCAGCTTTTGAGATTAGGCCATTTTCTTCCTGGGCAATCCCAGTTACCGAGCCAGTAGGGGAACTAAGGCCTGGTGGTTTCTGTCCAGCATCGGACTCCTACAGTGGGCAGTTTTTTCTCCGGAGCATTCTGTTGGGTTGGTTGAGACATTGTCAGACCTGCATTGCAGTCTGAGTCTCTCCCCCGCCCAAACTTGCTTTCTTCCCTTTTTATCTTTCAAAGGCATTATCCCTCAATAAATCTCTTAAACTCCCAACTCCATCTCAGTGTCTATTTCCTGGAGGATTCCTAGTTGATACTAGGATATCACTCCTAATTGATGCTAGGACTGGCATAAGAAAGCAGTCAGGTCAAGCGAGGTGGCTCGCACCTGTGGTCACAGCAACTCAGGAGGCTGAGGCAGGAGAATCATTTGAGCCCAGGAGTTCGAGGCTGTAGTGAGCTATGATTGTGTCACTGTACTTCAGATTGGATGACACAGTGAGACCCCATCTCTTAAAAAAAAAAGCAGTTAATTAGGGATTTGGGGTTGAATCACTCACCATCCAGCCATGAACCCCATCCTCATCCCATATTATCCCAGGCAATATGGACTGGGTACATTTGGGTGGATGCCAAAATGTAACTTCTCTCCTCACCTTCTGCCCCATATGGGAAGACAGTGAAAAAATCCCTCCCCTGCAACAGGAGTCCTACTCAGGATGTATTTCTGCCTCTTCTCTTGGCCTGCAGGCTAATAAGTCATGTTAAGTTGCAGCATAACTCAGTTGGGGATGTGCCATGTCTGATAAAGAAATAAAGGGACCGTGGTCCAAAGGATAGGAGAAACTAGCCTTCATGTGACAGCAGGATCATGGGAGATCTCTGGGAGTGGATTTGAGGGTGCTTAATCAAGGAAGCTGTAACATAAGCCTAAACAATGAAGAATTTATTGACTTGGGGCCATTCATTTGTGATATAAGATTTAACACCCAGGTGAGGATCCTGACAGCTAGTGCAAACTGGCTTAGTGGCTCCAAACATCTGGAAGAAGTGATGGGTTATGCTAAGTACAGTTGAAATGACTGAATTGCCATGATGCATGCTAGAGGAAAGAATTAAAAGGCTCAGGGAAATGGGTATGCTGGAGTTGACATATTACAAGGGGCCAGGAGACTTCTTCCAAAGGATTATGTTCCCTCAGAGGGCCCAGAGGACACACCCACCATTCACTAAGGCCATCAGAAATGAGTAGTGACAGAGCCATCCACCCTTATAACAAAACACCTCCTACCAGGCCCCCCCTCAACCCCGCCAACACTGGGATCACATTTAACATGAGAATTAGAAGGGACATATATCCAAACCACATCAGAATGCATCATTCAGGGAAGGTATAGACCCACTACTGCACTTGCTTCTCCATATGCCTCCATTCACGGCTCAGCTCCATGACTTCCCAACTTCATAAATTTGATCGTACTACCTAACCCCTCTTTCCATAGTTTTTCTGTTTTATACAATGAGGGTAATAATAGTACCTCTCTCATGAAGATTTAATATGCCTTGTGCATAATAGAGGCTCAATAAATACTATATGTGGCAGAGTGTTTGCAAAGATGGCCACAGTCATTTCTCCCATCCTTGTAAGCCCGCCCCAACATCACTAAGAAATTCAGTGGCGGCATCCTCTACATTTAAAGCAAAAATAATAGCATCATTGTAGAAATCAAATGTATGAAAATAATAACAATGGCCAGACGGGGAAAATAAAAATACACTGATGTGAATTTCTTGTATACTACATGAAGTAATAAAATATTAATTGAAGATAGACTGTGACAACTTAAAGATATATATTATAAACCTAAAGAAACTAGTAAAAGAAAAGAAGGCCGGAGCAGTGGCTCATACCTGTAATCCTAGCACCTTGGGAGGCCGAGATGGGTGGCTCACTTGAGATCAGAAGTTGAAGACTAGACTGGCCAAAATGGTGAAACCTCATCTCTCCTAAGAAAACAAATAATACAAACAAATTAGCCAGGCATGGTGGCACGCCTGTAGTAATCCCAGCTACTCAGGAGGCTGAGGCAGGGGAATCACTTGAACTCAGGAGGCAGAAGTTGCAGCAAGCCAAGATGGTGCCACTGCACTCCAGCCTGCGTAACAAAGTGAGATCCTGTCTCAAAAAAGAAAAAGAAAAGAAAACAGGCTGGGTATGGTGGCTCACGCCTGTAATCCCAGCACCTCGGGAGGTTGAACCAGGTGGATCACCTAAGGTCAGGAGTTTGAGACCAACCTGGCCAATATGGCAAAACCCTATCTCTACTAAAAATACAAAAATTAGCTGAGCATGGTGGCACATGCCTGTAATCCCAGCTACTCAGGAAGCTGAAGCAGGAGAATCTCTCGAACCCAAGAGGTGAAGGTTGCGGTGAGCTGAGATCATACCACTGTACTCCAGCCTGGACAACAGAATGAGACTCCATCTAAAAACAAACAAACAAACAAACAAGAAGACCCAGTTATCAGTAATAAACTGATAGTAATAAACCAACAAAGTAAACACAATGTAATAATAAAGAATACTCAATTAATAGAAAAAGAAGGCAAAGTCCGGGCGCAGTGGCTCACACCTGTAATCCCAGTACTTTGGGAGGCTGAGGCAGGCAGATCACAAGGTCAGGAGTTCAAGACCAGCATGACCAACATGGTGAAACCCTGTCTCTACTAAAAATACAAAATTAGCTGGGCATGATGGTGCACACCTGTAATCCCTGCTACTCGGGAGGCTGAGGTGAGACGATGGTTTGAGCCCAGGAGGCAGAAGTTGCAGTGAGCTGAGATCTGGCCATTGCACTCTAACCTGGGTAACACAGCCAGACCCTGTCTCAAAAAAAAGAAAAAAAAAGTTTGACAACTTAGATAAAGTGAACAAATTCCTTGAAAGACACAAACTATCAAAACCCATTGAGGAAAAAACAGATATCCAGAGTTTCTCCATATCTATTTTAAAATTTGAATTTGGAGTGAAATTCAGTAGAAAACTCTCCAGCTGAGCCTAACACAAACTGCCAGCCACGGAGCTGGTTGTTGTTTTGCCACTATATTTTCATGTGGTTTGTTATTATTTATTATTATATTATCCCCATGAAAATATTTATTCACTCTCCAGTTGAATATTTTATTCAACTCAAATGTTCCCTCTTCTGCAGAAGCTTCTCCATCTCCCTCCCACATGGCTGCGTCCAAGCACACTTGGTCTCTTCTTTCTCTATGCTTTCCCTTCCATTGTCTTTTTGAACCACTTTGGTACATGTCTTTTTAGACCACTTTGGCTTAAAGTCATCTGGCCTACATCTCTCCTCCCCTGTCCTAGACTATGTACTTGTCATGGGCAAAAGCCATGTCTTCTCTAGCCCTACATTCTCCACACTTCGCATAATGCCTGGTTTAGATTAAGAACTGATAAGAATTCATAAAAGAGGCAAAAAGTAAACAAAATTGGAAATGAATGAATGAAGGAAGTGACTGATTGAATTTTAATATCCAACATTCACTGAGAGTGTACAGTATGCTAGTCACTGTTCTAAGGCTATTATAAAAGTATTTGCTTAATCCTTCCAACAATCCTTTGAGGAAAGTACTAATATTATCCCCATTTTACAAATGAGGAAGCAGAGATTTTGAGAGTTACTTAGATCATAAGATAGTAAATGGCAGAGCTGGGATTCATACTGGGTAGACTGGCTCTAATGCCTAATCTGTATGTTATGCAGTACTACCTACACAAATTCTAAACAGGTATCCAATGATAAATGCCATCACAGGCTTACAAAGAGATACAGAAGAAAATGAAGCAGAAACAAGGAAGTGTGTCTGCGCTGTGGTACCCAGCCCTAGGGAGGCATTCTTGGATGCCTCCTCCCAACCTCCTTTCCTGCAACTGCTTGGGAGTTTATTGGCTTCTCATTCCTATGCTG